GAGTACACGTTTGCCCCCGTAAAGCTGATGTTCAGGAAAAACCAGCCATGAAAACACACTGGACAAAACATGAGCGTGTTACTCTTGCTTGAAATGTCTTGGGCTTCGAACTCTGCTGTCCTCCCCTTGTCTACCCTAGCCACCCTGCCCTGCTGTCCCCTAAGGTCCAAATTCATCGCAGCTGTGAAATGGGGTGGCAGGTAGAAAAGAGGGGGCATCAGTCCCACAGACAGAAGGCTCTCTTCTGTTCTCGGTGCTTCTCGAAAGATAGAAGATTCCACTGTGAATTCACGACACGTATCAGGGTTAAGCTGATCAGGATGATGATGGAGTTCAGGCTCTTCAATTTTCTTTCCTGGGTTTCCTCTGAAGAGCCCTTATATTATAGTACAGTGGATTAAGCATTGGGCTGCTAACCAGAAGGTCACTGGTTCAAAACCAACAATCACTCCTTAAGGCCATCTGCTCCCCTAACAATGTCTCAGGAACCCTAAGAAGCAGTTCCATTCAATGGCAGTAGGTTGAGAGAGAGAGAGAGAGATTAAATATGTCTTTCACTCCTGTTTGAACCTCCCCTTCCCCAGCCCTTCTCTGCACAGAGAAAACCCCCAGCATGAACAAACAGTGCCAAGAAAGAATCCCGCGCACATGGCTTCCCCGGGAAACCCACTTGCTGTGCCTTTGTGAAGCCTCACGCCATTTGGGAACACCTTGCTTCTGGGAACCCTTCCCTGGCAGCCCCTTGCGCTCTTTCTTCCTGCCCTGATTTTGCTCTTGCCTCTTGAGCTGGGGGCAGTGAGCGGCTGGACAGGGGCTGAAGAAGGCAAGAAGAGTGCAGACAGAGGCAGGGAGGCTCCCGGGGAGATGGTGCTCCAGTCTGGCTTGTCTTTCAGGAAGGAACCAAGCAAGCCTTTGGTGCACATGGCGTGTCTTGGTGATGGTGCCAGTAACCCGTGGCCGTGGTTAGTGGCCTCTGGCTTCGGTCTACTGACAACACTTTTGCTGGCACACACACATCTCTCTCACCTCTCTCACCACACACACACACACACACACACACACACACACACACACACACACCCTTTGCAGGCTCCTGGGCCCTCTCAAGTGCCTTATGCTCTGGCCTCCCTCTTTCTTCTTCCTGCGAGACCTCCTATCTTGGAGGACATCTGCATGTCCTCCCTCACTCACCCTCCTGTCCAGGAGCCTCTGAAACTCACCTCCCTGGTGCCTTCCGGTGGATTTCAGGTCTCCTGGCTCCCATCTACCTCAGGGTCCTGCCCCGCCGGCCAGGGCAGCTGCCTCAAGACTGAAGGTGGCTTTGTTCTCATCTCTGGGTCCCAAGGGACCCCAACCTGTCCCAGAGCCCTCTGCCCAAGGATTCTCATGTAAATGAGCCTCAGCTGAGAGGCGAAACGCCTCAGCGGGCAGGAGAGCCTACCTTCTCCTGGGATCCCCAACGCTAAGGCCGGAGGGAAAGGAGAGGGGCTTCTCGCATGACTTTGCTTTCTCCTGATTCCAGCCAGACCCTCGTTCAGATTTATACAGTTCTATTGTGAGCCCCGGTGCTGTAGTAGGGAGCTCCGGTGGGTTATAAACTGGGCTGCTAACTGCAAGGTCAGCAGTTCGAAACCACTAGCTGCTCCGAGGGAGAAAGACGGGGGTCTCTACTCCTGGAAAGTCACAGTCTTGGAAACCCACAGGGGCAGCTCTACCCCCTCCTATAGAGTCGTGATGTGTCCGCATCAACTCCATGGCAGTGATCTACAGGTGGAGCTGCCAACCACAAGATCAGCGGTTCCAACTCAGCAGCCTCTCCTTGGGAGAAAGATGAAGCTGTCTGCCTCCATAAAGGTGTACAGCCTCAGAAACCCACAAGGTCACCCTCCCCTCCCCTGCAGGGCGGCTGTGAGTCAGACTCAACTAAATGGCAGTAGGTTTGGGTTTCTGTTCCCAGTAGTACAGTGATTAAGCGCTTGGCTGCTAACTGAAAGGAAGGTTGGCAGTTCAAGCTCATGCAGCAGCTCGGCGGGAGAAAGGCCTGGCAGTCTGTGGCCTAGAAAGCTCCACTGGGGAAGCTCTGCTCTGTTATGGACACGACTCCAGGCGAATATTGACTCAACGCACTGGACACCGATGGGAGCACAGTAACCCCGATGTAACCAACTGTGCCCCATGCTGTGTGTGAGTAGGGATAACAGAGAGGAAAAGAACTAGCGCTCCATTCTCAATACTCCCTCGAAAGACAGGGCATAACACATTGTGTTGTGAAGAAATAACCAACGGCCAGATGGGTTTCTCTTTACAGTCCCCTCCTCTTCCCGCCCCAGACTGTGGGTGGACGGGAGGGGGTTCCTGAGGTCATTTGGCCCGTGGAAAGCCTAACTTTGGGTTTGTAGGGATTCTAGTGCAGACAGTGCAAACCTCGGAGCCTCCTAGTTTGACAAAACAAGTGTTCTTGCTCAAACAAACAGAGACCAGGGCAGGAGTGGAACTTATAACCTCAAGGCAGAGATGCAAACCGGCTGTGCCTCATGACTACGGAAGCCGCAAAGGCTCGCAGCGAGTAAAACCCCAGTTTAAGGCAGAGCAGAATTTTCGTGCATCCTGCGGGACGCGCTGGAACCCCGAAGCCCCTAGTGAACAGGGCAAAGACGGTCTGGCTCACATACAGAGGCGCACATGCAAGCGGAGATGGGCACACGCGCACACGCACACCCTCCGCATCTCCAAATCGCTCCCTGGCGCGGAAGGACAGAGAGTGGGAGAATGAATCAGGTGTTGAGGTTGCAACAGCAGCAGGCACCACAGCTGTCATGTGGGAGCACAGTACCGGTGGATCCTAACTGCTGCGGAGAGCGGGCCATTCTTGTAACACGGACCTCTCAGGCTCAACCCGCCCCCTCGCCCCCCCAGTCTCTCTCCTGCTTCATTAGCCCGGGGAAGGAGTAAAGGGAGGCAGAAAGGGTGGTAATGGCATCATTGTTCTGTTAAGTTGGAGGTTAGACCCCAGCCTCCAAGGATGCTAAGTCCCCATCCCTTGCAGGGCGACGCAGAGCAGGCTAGACTATGGGGTCTGGGCAAACCCCTGACTCAGCATTCCTCATCAGCCCTCATTCCCCCGCCGTGCCCCCAGTTCGAGCCACAGCCCTGTTGGTCTCGCTCTGCGTGGCTGGTGTCTGTGTAGGGAGAACCAGCACCGCTGTGACCAGGGTTCGCCACGCCCCAGAGGTGGTGCTCAACACAGAACAAGACTCCCATGTACAGACCCCTCTGTGCCTGCAGGCTTGGTACACCACGTCTGGCCCGGAGAGGAAGGCAGCTCACCACATCAGCAGGTTGAGTTGACAGATCCATTTGGGGGGTTATTTTGTGAGCCGCAAGGCTCCAAAGTCATCACTTCGAACTCACGGTCGCAGTGCAGGAGAAAGATGGGGCTGTTGGGGATTTAGTCTCCGAAACCCACAGGGGCAGCTCTACCCCGTGCCCTAACGTCCCTGTGGGTTGGAATGGACTGGCTGGCAGTGGGTTTGGGCTTCTAATTTTGTCAATGCATGGAGGAGCTGAAAACCACAAGCCTTGAGATAGGATGGGAAGGGGGTGGATGAGATTTGATGGAACCGGGATTCCATGGTCACAACCCGAATTTCTAGAATCAGTTCAAGTCTCTCTTACACACACGTAGACACAGACACATGCATCCCCAAACACAAATACACATGCACACACAGGCATGCATGCACTCAAACACATATGCACACACGCACACCACCACAGATACACGCATGCATCCACAGACACA